TCCCAGTTCAGGTAGGTAGATTGTAGCGGACCTCGACGCTGAGCGCAGCATCGGTGGCGACAGTCGCTGCGACTGATGGGGAAATGGCGTCGCTCCGCGGTCCGAGATGGGCGTGCAAAAACTGGACGGCCATCCGTCCGTGCGAAGCGGATCTCGCAGTCATCATGGACGAGACGACAACGTAGAAAGAGTGGGTTAAGTGTACCAATAGTGTTCATTCTGGGGAGCGCAACTAACTGTAGCGGTTTAGGATACTTGGAACCAACGGATTCCGCTGGGCGATTGTAAATGGATTAAATGATTGGGGTACCTAGTCTCGTATTCAGGGACATGTATCTGGAATAAAACAGTCAAGCACCATCGTTTGATAACAGAAGTTTGGAAGACTCGATTGAAGCTTTGTATTGTCGCGTATGTGCGTGGATGTCACAGGTCAAACTGCCTTGTGGCGTGTTGAGGAGGTTTAGAGTGGTGTTCAGCACATGGAGATGGAGCTGGTGAATGCAGAGAAATAACTATGAATGAAACGATACGGTGGCTCAATGCTTTAAATATTAATAGCAATTTGTTAGAAATGTTTTAAATTAAGTTGTTTAAGAAAATTTTTGAAGATACGTTATTGGAATTCGTGTGAAATAGGAAAAAATTACATCAAGAATACTTCCATATGGATTTACCTTGTCGTAAAGTAATTTGTATATTCGTATCTTTTATTTGTTTAATTGACAACCAAGTATTACAAAGATTAGTATTATTAAAATTAATAGTTGTTGCTTAAAGGAAACGTTAAAATTAATTTAGTATTTAATACTAGGTTATTTTACTTAGCTGCAATAAAAATGAAAATCATAATTAATTATTATTATTATTATTATTATTCGAATTTTTTCTTTAGATATATTTTTTTAAATTTGAAAATAATATTATATTTTAAATCCATGAAAAAAAAATAATTAGAAATAAATATAAATACGTTGAAAAGATAATATGATTTTAAAATCAATCTTAATAATTATTTATATATATATATATATATATATATTTATATATTTTAAATTTTCGTATTTTAGTTATTTTAGATAAAATAAATCATCAATAATCATTAGTAATGTCAGAAGAATAAATCAAAAAGTAAAATATATGACAAAACAAATTGCTTTTATAAACAATTAAAACAAAATAAACTAATTTAAGTGAATGACAATAAATTTAGTTATTTCAACAAAAAATAATTGTATTTCTATTTACTATTCTATAAACATCTAATAAATCAATCAAAAAATAAAATATCTATTATTAGATTATTAAACCCATTATTTTGATATCTTATTTTTAAATGAGTATTTTAATCTTTAAAAACAATACTTGCTCAACCAATCATTAAATATTATCCATTAAAAATTGGAATCATAAACTTCTATAGTTAAAAAAATTATAATCATTTTATTTTAAAAATATTATATTAATAGAAGACAAAATATTATATGTAGTTTTTTAAAATATAAGGTGGTTATGGAATTTAATGAAAATATTTATTAAAAAGTACTATTTTAAGCATATTTTTATAGAATTTGGTATATTTTTATATGACATATTATTTGTACAATGAGATATTAATAGAATTTTAAATTTTATTATATTATGAAGTATTTTTTTATTTTTATTGAATAATTTTTATTTTTTTATTTATTAAATTGACTGATAACGTCTTTTAGGAGTCAAAACTTATAGACTTATTTTTATAGAGATATAAAATAATTATTAGCCTAATTGATATAAAATTATTAATTTAAAATTTTAATTTATAAGAATTTCAAATTCTATATTATATCAGAATGAAGAAAATATATATGTAAATGTTATTTAAAATTATAAGTTTAAAATAAAACAATTGATTTTAATAAAAATTATAGCTATTTTTGGCCTTCATTGTCAATTGGATGGACAAGCAGAGCATGTAAACTAAGTTTTGGAGTAGTTGTATTTTAGGTGTATCATCAACTCTCAACTTGATGATTTAACAATCCTTTATGTTATTTGCAAAGTTTTCTTATAATAATATGGTACATTTTTTTAGGTAACAAATATCTTTTTTTCTAATTATAGTTATTATCCATGACTTCATGTTTTTGTTTGTTCAAAAGTTGATAATTTTTTGGAGGTGGATTTGGCAAAAAAAATTATGAGCTACATTCAATAATAAAAGCACACTTAAAAGAAGTTCAAGAACAACAAAAGATTAACATGGATGCCTATCACAAGGAGCAATCTCAATTCCACATTGGCCCCAAGATATGGTTACTTTGTCACAATAGGAAGACTAGCTATCCTTATGAGAAGTTGGATTCCCATAGACTTAGGCCATTTCCTATTTATGATCCAATCTATTTTTTTGTTTATTAATTACATCTATTGGATTTTATGAAGATCCATTCCATATTATAGGAATGTGAAGGTATATTTCACCTTTTAATCCAAATTACAAGATGGCCTCAATTCAAAGTTGCTTGTAATTGGTGGTGTGAAGTAAAGGAAGCAATTAACAACATCAAAAGAAGTCCAAACATAAAATAAATGAAATCAACAAAATCAAATAATTACACAATCCAAAACTTGGTCACAATCTATTTACTAAATTTTTACCAAATAAAAAGTAAAATAAAAGTAAAAGTAAAAAATCTATTTTTAGAAATATAATTTTGTTATGTTTCCAATGGTCTAAGAAACATATAAATCCGAGTTACTATAAGTATGTTATGAAGGTTTAAAAATAAATAAGTAAATAAATGAAAATTTAAGTGAATATATTTTATCTCAAGGGTAATTTGTTTATAGATCAAGGATTTGAGCAACACCAAGGCTCACATGTAGTGTGTATGGATTTCTAAGAAAGGCTACAAGGCTTTAGTCTTATTCTCTTAATTACCTTCAAGGTGCTACAATCCATATGGAATTTGTGCACTTCCTTGCTTTCGAAGACTATACTAGCTAATGGTTCTCCTATTTTCTACTAGTATATCCAATATTTTTACATTTTTGACTTCACCATGGTGTTCAAAAACACCCAATTAGCCTATGAACCTTACATGGCCTTCAATTCTTGCTCCATTTCTTCATAATGGCTCCCAAAATAATAAAATTTATTTTTATCAAAGTCTTAAAAATTGCTCTAAATTTTTAAAATAAATTCTAAATAAAATTTAAAAATTTTGAAAATAATTTTATAGTAATAATATCAATTTAAGACTATAATTTTTTATCTTGATAATTTTTCATAGTATTAGAATCAATTTAAATCCACTATAAATCCTACTTTTTATATAATTAATTAAAAAGACATGATGTTTTTTTACATGCTTCTTTTAACTACTAATTAATATTTATATTTTTTTTTATAATTTATACATATAGATAGAAGACCAATGTAAATAATGATCTTAATAAAAAATCTTTAATATTCAATAATAAATAAAAATTCTAAACCAACTAAGATAATTATCTCTAAGACTTATTAAAATTCTATTTCTACAATTAACATTCTAATTTTTTATTTTTTTAAGGATTTCTATATTACTCAACATATTTTGTGATTTTAAGCATTCTAAATGCATCTTTTTTCCTTAAAATAACTAATGAGTTGATTTTATGACTTACAACATATCTCTTCTTGAGCCATATAAGATAGTGAATATCTCAAGAAGAAGTCAAATGCCACGTCTTCCTATGGAAGTAGATAATAAACAAGAATTTGAGATTGAAGAAGTACTAGATTCAAGGTGGCACTGAAATAGGTTGGAATATCTTGTTCATTGGCATAAATATGATATTAGTGAATGCACATGAGATCCAACAAAGAATCTTGTAAATACAAAAAAAAAAAGTTGAGGCGTTTTATTGATAACATCCATCAAAATTAAGATGAAAAATAGTAAATCTTTGCTATAAAAGAAATAAGATCCAAGAAAAATAATATTCTACCTTCCATCCTTATTTGTAGTTTTTATGTGTTTGTGATTTTAGAGAGATGAAAAATCAACAACTTATAGATTTAACTCAAAAGCTATGGTTTCTTGACTTATTGGATAAGACATTGTGATTGTTACAACCTTCAAGATGACGTAATTGAGATGAAGATCCTCAAGAATGACATGTTCTTTCTTGAATAGATGGCAAGATACAATATGTTGAGTATCACAACTTTGAAAGAGACTCCCAAAGTTTGGTGGTTTTATTAGAGATTGGAATGACTCTTGGTGATATTCCAAATGTTTTATTTTAAGAGAGTTATGAAGGCCTTAAAAACGATCAAAGAATATAGTAGTCTTCTTGCCCTAATATGTGACACTATCTTTGGCTCAGAGTATTATAGATATCTAATAAGAAGATTTTAGAATCATTCTTAGAATATTCTATTAAATTATAGAAGATTCTATAAGATTCCTAAAATATTTGAAAAGATTGAAAAAGATTTTTAGAAAGTTTTAGAAGGTTTTTAAAATATTTCATGCTATTATATTTATAACTTTATAAATTCTAAAATTCTTAGAATACTTCATATTATTATAATAAAAATTATAATATTTCATGCTATTATATTTAAAATTTTCTAAAACTTATGAAATTTTAAAAATAAATTTATAATTTAAATTTTTTTATAAATTATAAAGCACATTTTGATAAAATTTGATATATTTTTTATATCATATATTATTTATATACTGAAATATTAATAGAATTTTAGATTTTATTAAATTATTAAGTATTTTTTAATGAATCCGTGGTCCAAACTCTATTACTTTAGATGTAACTAGGTCTAAAATGTAGTAGATTTGAATTTTTCTTTTGGACTTAGCTTTGATTTAGAAACAACTTCTTAATAACCTTAAATCATAATTAGATTATTATAATTTTTAGCAGATATTTATTTGTAAGTATTAACTTCAAAAATAATTTTCTTTGCATTTAAATTGATAAGTTTCAATCACAATTTATGCTAATTTTAATTTTTTACTAACTAATAATTAAAATTGTATTGCATATAATTTAAATATTTTCTTGATATTTGATTTAGGATTTGATTAGGATTTAGGATTTTATTACAATTTGATCTAGAGTTTGGATTAGATTAGGATTTGATTAGGATTAGATTAAGATTTAGGATTTGATTAGAGTTTGATTAGGATTTGATTTAAGATTTGATTAAGATTGGTTTGGGATTTCATTAGAATTCATTGAAAGTTATATTAAAATTTGATTATGATTCAATTAAGATTTCTATTTTTGATATTTTAAAAGATTTTTTTAATATTTCTTTAATATTTCTTTAATATTTTTAAAATATTTTTTTATATTATATATATTTGATTTAGATTAATTTATGATTTCTT